ACCTGCCAAGCCAGAACCTGCTCACGTCATGTCGGTCTTGTCCAGAGCTTTAAAGTCAGTTCCAAGGCGTCCAGTGTGGCAGACCCACCATTGGTTTCGGCCAGAATAGCGGGCATTCCAAGGACCTCAGCACAGGTCTTTCCAGAAACTATTCCCCTAGACTCAGTGCTCCCTGTAATTGGGGTCACTATCATGTGCGTTTGGGCTACTCACTGCTCAATTACTCCTCCTGAGTCCGCTCCAGTCCCTGAGTCCGCTCACGAGCCTGCTCTAGTCCCTGGGTCCACTCACGAGCCCGCTCCACTTCCTGAACTCACTCCAGAACCTCCAGAGGTGCACTGTCACGATAGTGGGTCTCGTCTTTGTTTTCTCCGGACTCCATTTCCCATAACACCTGCCTAGGAACTCATTATCACACCACACCTGTTTCCTATCAGTGACACTATAAAGGTTGCACTCATCCACACACACATGGCTGATTATTGTTAGCCTGTTAAGTTGTCTAGTTTCTGCCTCGTCTTGCCTTGCCTTGCCTTCATGTTTTGTTCTTGGACTGTTTACCTGGTTTGTGATCGTTTACTGCCTGTTCTGTGGATTACTTTTTTGGATTACCTTGGATGTACTGTTTTGCTGGTGTTTTGACCCTGCCTGTCCGACTACGCTCTAAATAAATTTGCAGATGGATCCTCAACTCTGTTGTCACACCTCCTCCGTTACAGCTAAACCGCATAAAGTCTTTTTTCTGACTCCGTTTGAGTATCACAACATGTATAACTAAAGTAAGATGATGGTTAGAGAGTCATTAGAGCCCATAACCTACTGGTAAAACATCAACAGCAAGGTTATTGAAGTAGTATCCATCCATCAGCTCTGGTTCGATGCCATCACTCCATTTTTTCACTTCTTTCTCAAAAGCATTGGATAACCAGTTTCTGATCTCGTTCTGATGAGAGAAAATAAGCAATAGGAATTATAATTTAAAGCATGCAGCATTAACTGATATGAGAGAGAAGAACATTAACACTGTATCTACACTGAATATGAGCAGCACGTCCTTTCAAAAGCAAAAGCGAATTCAGCAAATGGTCACCTCGTTTTAATCCTAACTTACTACAGATACTTGTGTTACTTCCGACAACAGGACAAATGGTTTTGGTTTTATATATACACATATACATTATATATACAGTCCCAACCACTAATATCGGCACCCTTGGTAAATATGAGCAAAGGTGGCTGTGAAAATAAATCTGCATCGTTTATCCTTTTGATCTTTCATTCAAAAAATTCTAACCTATCATTGAAGTAAAACAATGGAAAGTGGGGGGGTGGGGTCTTTTTGTGAAATAAATGTTTTTTTCTCTAGTTCACATTAGCCACAATTATTGGCACCCAATTATTGCAGTGCCCTTTTCCCATGATAACAGCTCTGAGTTTTCTCCTGTAATGCCTGATGAGTTTGGAGAACACCTGACAAGAGATCAGAGACCATTCCTTCTTACAGAATCACTCCAGATCCTTCAGATTCCCAGCTCCATAGGGCCTTTTGCACCGCTTTAGTTCCAGAACTAAATGTACAGTACTAAAGTACTGGGACGATTTTGCACGAACTATTTCCCAGTTCCATTTAAAGGGTTGCATTCGCACCAACAGTGTGTACTAGGAAGTGACGTAAGCCTGTCGACAGCGACGTCATTTGTGCATGGCGTTCAACAACGGAAACAAA